AGCTGTCCTGGCAATGAGGGAACTGGCTGGGTGACCAGTGGAGTCACCCTAAAACCAGCACCCCAGCAAGGCTGACAGACAAGGCATGAAGCCTCTGGTCCAAGAGAGTCCCCCCAGTGCCACAGAGGCATGGCATGGGGTAACCCTAGCTCTGGGGTGTAACAACCACATATAACAGTGGATGGGAATAGCAGATATGTGCCCAGCTCTAGGGTGTAACAGCTGCATATAACAGTGTATGGGGAGGGCTGAGATACACCCCAGAGCTGGGTGCAACGGCAGCATACAGTAGTTTAGCACAGCCCTCACCATACTCACTGCAAGGGCCCTTCACTCCTGATCCGCAGCCCGCTACGCTCCTAGGAGTGGTGTGCAGTGGGTCCTGGAGGGACTAAAGTCCTGAGCTGTAGATGGCAGCTTGGATTCTTCCTGACCCCACTCCAGCATGAAGCCGGGCAGCTCGGTGTGCAGACGGCACATGGAAGATCCCAGAAGCACTAGAGCCAGGAGCTAAAGCCAGCTGCCCAGGCATCAATAGCCCAATGGGGCAGCTTTTGCCTGCCACGTGGGAGACCTGGGTTTGATTCCTGGCCAGGGCAGCAGTAGGTTGAGGTGCTTGCAAAAGGGAATCCTCACAGGCGAGCAGGGTTACCCCACCCCACCAGGGTGCCTGCATGCCATGTTTCCAAAATTAATGCCTCAAGTTTGTTGTTCATTTGTCTGTTATACCTGTATGTTCACCTACAACCCCTTTGATTCACCCTGGTTCCTCCCCTGCCCCCCAGGGGTGGGTGGGAGGGTACCTTTATGTCCCAGGGTCCCCTTGCCCCCACCTGTGTGTTATATTCCACCCTATTCCCGATTAAACCCATACATGGTTAAGTTCCAATTGGTTTTGGCTCTACTCTATAGGGGATAGGAGGACAGCTGCTCCCCCATGAGCGGCCACCCCTCTGACAGCACGCTAACACCTGCTAAATCCCTTCAAGTGGAGAGGGGGCACCTCATCTGAGCACCACCCAGGTTACCCCTACCCCTCAGCCCTGCCAAACCAAAAACCCAGTCGAACAAAAAGTAATTTAATTAACCTGAGTCTTGAACTGCCAGACCCATAACAATTTGATCTTTGCCACAAAGTGCATGCAAACACAGGGAACAATTTTTTTTGGAATCTAAAAAAGTTGTATTTTTCATTAATCTGAACCTTGAACTAAATCACAAGTAAAATTTGCAAGATTAGCACCTGGAGTCTTGCTGAAGTATTACAATAGAAAGTCAACGTATTTTCATGGATTAGCAAGTGAATCCACGCAGCACCTGGTAGTGTAATAGTTGCAAAGTAGGGAAAAATCACATTTTCGGGCATACATCAGATCCACGTTGAAAATGTAAAACACGCTCATGGAAGAAATTCAGGAGCTAAAAATAAAATGTCAGAGGTGTTTTAAATTACCACAATAAAAAAAATCTAAAATGATAAAAACAGCTGACGTAGATACACAGATGGTGTTTAGCTAGCTTAATGGTGATTTTTGTCATGTGGACACAGGAAAAGTGTCACATGGTAACAGGAAAGGTGTAACATGGACAAGCACCCTTAGATAACTTTTTCTGGAACTTTAATTGTCAGAAAGAAAGATAAATCACATGGACTGAATTACTGCTTTTAAAAATCATCTTAGAGAACTACTTTCTTTCCCACTAGACTCTCCTCCACAATTTGACCTTCTATGTTCCCTTAGTACTGGCTTATCAGTCACAGACCACAGTGGTTCTCCCACCACGGTAACAATATTTCATTATTTTAAATAATGAACAGAGCCTGTAATCAAACTCTGTCTGCCAGATGACATCAGAAGGTGCACAAACAACCCACTATAACCTGAAATGTATTGAAAAAAAGAAAGATTGGGAATGGTAGTATAGCTGATTGAAAATATTGTAAGTTTAAGATATTCTGGCTTCAGTTATTTTTCAAACAGAAGAAGTGAGTTCTCTGCGACGATCTCTCAATTCCATCAATGTGAAAGCTCCAACCTGATGTAAGCAGAAGAATCATATAGATGTTTCTCACAGACACTACTGGGTATTGGATCATCTTCATTTCCGGGGTAAACTCACTGAAGTCGCTCAGAATAAATGCAGTTTCTTGTGTCATTATTTTATGGTGCTTTCATCCATCCCAAGAGACTGTGTTAAGCATGCAGCCGACAGCTGCTCTTGTTTCACAAATGGCCAGCAGCGTACTAGGGTGCATCAGAGTGTCACCAGCAAATCAAGGGAAGCGGGTCTTCCACTCTGTTCAGTACTGGTGAGGCCTCACCTTGAGATTTGCAGCCAGTTTAAGGCCCCACGCTTCAAGCAGGCAGTGGACAGATTGGAAAGACTCCAATCCAGAGCAACAAAAATTATCAGAGGCCTGACAAGTAAAATATATGAGGTAAGCCTGAAAGAACTCCAGCTATTTATTCTGGAGAAGAGAAGACTGAAGGGGTGGGACTTGATAAGTCTGCAAATACCTGAAGGGTGATTATGGAGAGGCTGGCAATGGGCTTTTCTCTGTGATTGTAGGGGACTAGACTAGGAGCAATGGACTCAAGCTACATCAGGGAAAATGTAGGTTGGATATCAACAGGAACTTTCTGACTATGAGGAGTGAACAGGCTGCCTAGAGAAATTATGGAATCTCCACCCCTGGAAATTTTTAAGAGCACATTGGCTGCTTTTAAGAGACGCCTGCATGGGAATAGCAGAGACACCTCACTGGGATGATTTAGTCAGGGATGATTCCAGTCTTGAACAGGGGGCTGGCCTAGATGACCATGTGAGGTGCTTCCCATTCCTATTTTCCCATACATTAGTTTTATGTTCCTACTGGGCATGTCTACAGGTGCCGATTTAGGGCCCTTTAGCCATTTTTAAGGTACATTAAGGGCGTGGGTCTACAGGTGCATGCCCTTAATACACTTTAAAAATGGCAATTTTAGGCTAACCATGCCTAAATTTTAGGCGCAAATAGTTAAGGCACCTTAAAGGATGTGTAGATGCCTTAAGGCACCTTAACGCTACGTATGTCAACTAAGTGGGCCAGAGCTGATCCCGCAGGACCCCACGCTGCCACTGGGCGCTTCCAAGAAGAACATGCAGATGCTGTTCTTCTGCGCCTTGGAGAACAGCACCTGCCACTTCTTGGTGGCACCTAGAGGCAGCACGGGACCTCACGGGCTTGGCTCTGGCCTGCTCCTGACTGACACTGGGGAGGCAGGAACATGGGAAGAGGCTTAGAGCCAGGGCTGCACTGCCCAGCTACACTGTCGTGGGCTCGGGGCACCTGTGGGCACTCGGTACCCTGCAGCCAGTCCCAGCCTTGGGTGCAGCTACCTCAAGTCACTAGAGGCAGCCTGGGGGCTGGGGAGTGCCCCCTGCTTGCTTGGAGCCAAGCCGCCTCTGGCTACGGTCCAGTAGCCCTGGCTCTGCACATGTCGCCGACACACGCTGTGGGCCCCGGACACACCCTGCTCCTTTCTCTGTCCTCCCTGGCCAGGAGTGCGCTCACTGTTCGCACTGCCGCCAGCCACTTTCCCAGCGTGGTACCCATTGCAGGCCCCGGCACGCCTGTGTGTGGGGGGCTGTCCAGGGTAGGCTGCAAATGCATTCACCCAGCAAGCCACATTAAGATGCCTTAAGGCATGCACATGTAGACATGCCTAAATCACCTTAATGCAAGTTTAGACATGTGTCATTCACGCGTAGTCATGCCCACTGAGGCTGACACTTAAAACGGTCATATTTCAAAATGTCAAGAAGAAAGGGAAGTTTCATATATCTGCAGCCCCTCACAGATATCATCCCTGGCCTCCTTCCCGCCACCATCACATCAGGTATTTTACATTTTTTAACTAACTGACAGTTATATACCATATTTATCTCTTTTAAAAATGCGTCTAGTATACCCCCAGAGTATCGTTACCAAAAGATCATGGATCCCCTCAGAGTTGTTTCAGACCGTCTTCACACTCGGGCAGACATCAGTGCATTAGTTTACATAGTTTACGTTCATTTCACTTACTGAAACTTATCTTTATAATGACGAGACCTAAAGTGCTTTCATATTTGGCAATAGATTCAAGAGCCTAGTCAGGCAAATGTAAAAGTAATCTGGAATTATGCGACAATAGCTGCAGCCATATAATCTCATACACCAGATTTCATTTATCTCAAATAAAGCACTTTACTATCATTTTAACAATTTAACAACTGCATAATTAAAAATGAATGACTGTATACAGAGTAATGAACCAGACCCTTTCCAGCCATGTAGGTATGAGAAAAGAGTGTAGAATTAAATTATATTCTGTAAAAGCAGATTTTACTACAGAGAAAAAAAAGATGGGTGAAATGATCAATTATTGTTTGGCATGTAGGATTTATACACAGAATTTTCAGAGTAAAACAAATCATTTTGTGCTGTTTGCACAGAATATTTAAACTACTCACTTGAAAAACAAGCTGCATATTTTCTAAGTTTTCATGAATATGAGATTCTGGAATCAAAACTCTGCTTGCTACTTGGGTGGATGATACAAAATCAACTTGGGATAAATGAGTTATAAGAGGTTGCATTCTGAACGCACTTTAATAAAGCAGTTTGGATTTTGTGCCAAGTTCCTGGTGTTAACATGACTCTCCGATTATATTTTACTTAGCGAATATAACACAGGGGATACTAAATGTGAAAGAAGAAAGTAGCAGCAAAACTTCTTTTATCAGCAGCTAAGACAATTGTCTGAATTTCAGTAGCTGTTACAGCTTTGTACAAGATGAACATTTATAACATGTAATGAGGTGTCACGGATATAAATAAAAGCCACTCACGACAACTAAACACAGAGCTCCCAGGTGCTGTATACCCAGGAAGAAAGCGGAATGATTTGAAAACAGCAGAAATGCAAGGCAGCCATGCACGTTGGCGTGAGGGTAAAAAGAATGGTATGACACACCTCACTGCAGCATTTCTGGAGGCGTCTCTCCTCCCCTCTCACTTCCCGTGCTACTATCAGCAGAAACTCTGACTGCTGGGCCCGGCCAGAGGCATATGGGGAACCTATACTGACAAGCTGCAATAACCAATCAGAGCAAAACACAAAAAGAAACCTTTGTAAAGCCGAAGCGTACAAGTGTCATCTGAACCATACAAACAACAGATGGGCTCTGGGGTGAGAAACCAGTGTTCAACTGCCACTAGGACATATTGCAATGACTTTTATTGTTTTACAACATGCCGGCTATAATTGTTTTAGCGTTCAAATCAGAATCCTACGCAATGGATGCTGTGCATCTTAAAATCCATGCAGGTGGTTAAAAAGTCCTTTCTGATTTGAAGGCCAACTCTAGTTTCTTATAAAGTTGGACGGTAATGGCAAGGCAGATGACTTATCACCAGCAATATTTGCCAATTATTTTGAATTACCTAGGAAAAGGTTGCTGCATTATGAGCAACGTGATAGCATTGTTCTCCTTTCCCCTTAGGGGCATGGAAATGAAAGTAAGGAGAGAAATTTATCTTGTTTTCAGGAAACAGTGCTGGTAATCCAAAACCCCAATTTGTATTACTGAGTCCAAAAATGAACCCCAAGAACTACAGAAAGTCAATGATGTAAAAAGAGCTAAGACTATCCTAGGCAGTTTTACAAGAGGGGATTTTACAAAGCATCTAGATAGTGTTCATTCCCACTCCAGGTCCAATCTTGTTCCCATGGGAGACAAAAGCAAGGATTAGATAACAGAAATGCAATAATCTTGAGGTTCAAGTTCCCAGTATATTCTGTAATTTCTCATTCACTGAATAACCTTCACAGTACTCCGTAATGCCTAACCCATGTGAAAGCATACGTATGTCTGTGAGCTTTGAGAAGGATTAGATTTTATGATTAAATATGAAGAGAAAGATAAAGGCTGCTGTGAGATAAACAGCTTCCTATTCAGATTAAATAATCATTTAAGATTATCACTAGTGAGAAATGCTGGTAAAAATGATGCTCCACAAACTGTTAAGTTAATTACATGCTATTATCATTATGCATATAATTTTGAGCGCATCAGTTAAATACTGGCTTTGCCTAGCCAATCTATTTAAGGCAGTGTTACTGGATCAGATTCAGGCTACATTTATTGTTGAGTTGTAGGATGGACATAGGCTTTGAACAGGAAATACAATGGACAGTGCAAATTTGCTGCTATAAAGTTTTGCATTTTGAGCTGAACGTAATAAATATTTGATTTCAGAATAGTAATGACAGCTTAAATCAATTTCTTTAAAGAAACACAAAGTTAATAAAACGGCACAAAACATTACTTGCGTGCTAAAGGAGAGCTAGGAAATTAATGACTGGGGACATTCTGCGTTTGAAATAACATTTCCCGCTAGGACAAATTACAAGAGAAACTTAACACCTCATCTTTGGAAAATGGTCCATTTAAAGATCCAGACAGGGACAAATTCACAGCTTGCCAAACAGATCAAACGTTTCAATATGAAGAAACTACTTCTGTCAAAGACAGGGCACAAAGTGCAGTAACACAACCATTTCCAAGTGTTTTACTTTACTAAAGAGCACAATCCCAAGACATTTTGTGGAATGTGAACTGATGGCTTGTTAGTACAGCTTTTACCACTTGTTGTTTGTCCTAGAGCAGTGGTTTTCAACCTGTGGTCCCTGGACCCCTGGGGGTGCGCAGACTACGTCTAAGGGGTTCACAGAAGATGACTGTGGTCAATTAGAGGTACGTGAATACACACAGTTACAATTCAAAGGGGCCCACACCTCCATTCAAAAATTTTTAGGGGTCATAGCAAATGAAAAAACATTGAAAACTACTGTCTTAGAGACACCAGTCCTTGTAATGGGCCAAAAGTCTGACTTTCCCTCTCTTCTTTGATTACAAACATCAGGTTCAGTTTAAGATCATTTTTTCAGTTTCAAATTTTTCATGTTTCAGTTTTTCAAGGAAGCAGTTTTTACTGATTTGCTGAAAGGAGCCTTTTAGCCTGTGCTAAACTAGATGGGTTCCTAATCTATGCAACCATTACTACCTTGGAAAAGTCGATGGATTTTAATATACCCCATAAGAGACACCCATCACAATATGCACCATCATTCCATAGGAGAATGCTTTTAAGAGGGTGAACTGCAGGTTAAGGGGGATTTCTCCAAAAATGAAACATCACACCATATCACTGTATTCCTGTTCTTGGCAATTAAGCTTAAGGAATGACTTAAGTTTAATTGCCAAGAACATGACAATCACATTACAACTGGATGGCACCTACGATACAACTAACCAAGTGGATCCTGCCCAAAGCCAAGTATATAGTGGAGGGCAAGCTAAACAGCAGTGCCAGATCAAACACCTGGTGTCAGTCAACCTCAAGCCACCTGTCCTAGACAAAGCACTGTGGCTCTGGGGTAGTGCTCGAGGAAAACAAATGGAATTTTCCCTAAAACAGATAAATTCTGAAGGAAATCCTAGTACTGTACTTCAATGCACTTTGTAGTTAGTGTCAATGCTCAAACATGCTACTCCTAAAGAATAGACTGTCCTAGATTATATGGAAGCTGTAGGGTCTCCTCCCTCCTTTAAAAAGGAAAGACCATCTGTGAAAAAGAAGAAATCAGCTTCCTTCAAACAGAACTTGCCTAGTTTGCTGTTCAAAGAACAGTCACCTGGATCAGGTAAAATTATAGCTTATTTCCAAGCACAAGAAGTTTCCCATGCAATGTGATCTTGGTTCTCAGATCCTGGAGTAATCTCTGGGTGATCTAAACACTTTACTATCCACATAGCAAATACAGAATAACTCATCTCACCCTCCTCCTGTTTCAGGACCTAAGCACCCAAGCCTCCCTCTGCAGTTGACAGCCAGATTGCTCAGATGCAACACAGATGTCACAACAGGTTACAATCAGGAAGGATAAGGAGTTTCCCTTTGGTATGTTCGTGTTCACAAAGATTATCAAACGCGTTCGCTGCAACCTTAAACATTCTTGAATCCAAACTGCACTACAAACAGGGCTGTGTATAACATGTAAATAAAGATTATTTGTTCTCACCTGAAAGAGGAGGAACAAGAACAGAACATACCCATGGAGTTCACACCTATTTCTCTGCACAACTATATTAATTGATTAGGCACTAATAGTGTGCTTCATATAAACTTGGAAACAGTTTGGATATCAAAGCAAGGAACAATATCAAATCTATGTCTGGAATTTTGACTTCCTAAACTAAAAAACTAGAGTGCACTGATCACTTTTAGCACATTGACCTGGTAAGCTGTTTTAATGTTTAAAACAAGTGCCATAGCAGGGCATTGGTTCCCAAAGTTGTCAATTTATCCAGAGAAGCAGTAGTGACCAGATAGTGGCAGCAAAGCCTTCCCTCATAACAACCCCTCAGGTGCATCTCAATCCTCTTCTGGGTAGGTCACCATTAGGGCATAACAAACACCTTGTCTCCAGGACATTTCCTTCCTCCACTCACAGGCCTTTGTATCAGGTTGAGCACCAACATAAATGTACAAGAGGAGAAGTCAGTCTCCTCTGCTCCCTTCAACCTTTACACTCTCAGCTGAGGCTGCCCATGAGAATGACAGTGGCTCTTATGACATGGGTAATCATAGAGAGAGGAACTGGAATGAGATGCCAAATTTTAAGTGGCTGCCAAACTGGCATGTTGATGTTCAAGACATGAATTTCATTCCTTTTCTCTTGACCTATCTAATCTTCAATAACAACTGCATTTGGCAACTGTTCTCCATACATTTCAGTATTCATGTATAAAACTTTAAAACAGCCCAGTGATGCTCACAAAACAATGAACTGAATTTTTTTGTTAATTTTGTTACCTGCTCAAATTTCCAGCCATCAGACATTGTGGAGACCATTTGGGTGAGCTCCTCCTCCTGGCACTGCAGCACCCTGTATACATGTTTGACCGGCACCTTCAGGAAGAAACAACAAACTTTAAATATTGCAAGTGAAATAAAGACATCTGTGTTATCTCTGGGTTTCTCTCACACTTTAAAAAAAAATATATATGTTAAGCAATAGATACTCTAACACCACAGGATCAGTGACCTCTAGGCCTCCAGTTAATTCATATGGCTTAGTACTTCTGTAATCTAATTATGTTGTTTGCAACTTTCAGTTCTTAATTGGGATCACAATGTTCAAACCGTGGCACAGAAGGGCTGTGACCCTGACCCCTCAAAGCTTACCCTTATGTTATCTGCAGCCAGGAATACTTCTTGGGAGTGACCCATGAACCCTACTGTTCATTTTCTGTCTACTCTCCCTTTTCAGAATGACTGTACAAAGATCTGAAACATTTCACAAACATTTCAGTGGCTGAAACCCTTGAAATGATACAAATTTGTGGGCCTTGAAAATAATACTGACTCCTGGAAGTCCGGTGGTAACAGCAATTTGAATCCATTATCTACCTTTACAAAGCTGGCTTCCCATGCTGCTCCACTCAGTTCAGACAATGCCTGTCCAGGGCCAAATCCCACCACTTTTCTAGGGCATAGCTTGTTAAAAAACACACTTATCACAATACTTCAGTCAGGCTCCTCTCCAGGAGTTACAGCATTATGGTTCATAGCCGAAGAGCTATTCCAGCCTGACGACAGGCCCACTCTTACACCCTCACATGCCAGAGAGTTGTTTCCATCTCATACCCAGGTCAGAGCTTCACTACTGTAACAAATAAGCAGGAATCCATCAGCATTTCCCTAAATGGTTCCAACTAGCACAAAGGGCCAAGAAAACAGAACTGACATTCTGTGTCCCCGTCTCAAGAAGGTACAGCTGTAGCAGAAGGTCACAAGTTTTAGCTCCATGGAGAGCCAGTTATCAGAATGTCTTAATACCAGCTCCATGGAGATACTGCGCTCACAGCAAATCTGAATACATTTTCCCCAATTAATAGCATCTATGTCACGTTCATTTTTATGAAAAAAAGGTTCACAAACTGATCTGAGAAGGACAAGAATCTCTTCCTGCAGATACAGGGTACTGCAGAGAAAGAAGGTAAAAAAAATAGGAAGAATCAGAAGGTATTCTGGAAAATAATCAGAAAAATAATCCTAGGAAGCTGATGAAATATGGCTTCTTCTTTTAATGGAAGGAGATTAGATAAGGATCTTCCTTTAGATTAGATAAGGATACTCCGGTCACTGTGCTTATCCATTCCTACCCAGGTTAAGAATTCAGACGGTTGTTATCTCACAGCCACAGATTCTCACCACCTTGGAGGTGGAGTATTTAAATTCATAAGTAGAAAATCTGCTGCCCCGGCCAGCTCTCTATAGTTTTCTAATATAATTATCCCCACAGTGTTCAAATACTGTGAATTAGTAGATTTCTCAAGCAACAACATCCAGTTGTATGTTCTGCACCATTTCTCAAGTATCCAACATTTGAAAGCAATCTAATGAACAAAAATGTGTCAGCATTCGGTAGTACTCTCCGTGCCAGTGGAGAGTGCACACTGTCCAGTGCACATTGTCCAGGACACAACAAGTTACTGACATGAAAAAGAACCATGTCCCTTTGGTCAGAATCATAAAAGTACATTAGGTAAAGGCCTCACCTGTGAGATTTTGCTGTCTCTTTCTCTTATTTTGTCCTTTACAAGTTTTATTAGTGATGTGATGTTGTAGAATTCAGCTTCTTCCAGTACACCTGGCACAAGAAACATTTTTGCTTGAAAAAGGTAGTGTAAACAAAGTTTATAGGCCAAGAACAACAGACAGTTCTGGGAAGATCTCCTTTAATGCAATGGGAAGCAGTCAGTTTTGCCTTGCGAGCTGCTGCTTAAGTGAGCCAAATGATCCTGCCCTCCCTTTCACTGCTATATAATTCAAGGTCTACTCAGCACAAAGAGCTGACCTAGATCCAAATCAGAAAAGCTCTACGGGGCCATTTCTGAGGGTTTGCTCTTCGCTCACACATAAGCAATAGACTTGAGTTTACCAAAACTGCTGACAATACAAAACCCCACAAATGCATTTTTACTGGAGGACCGACATGCACAGAAATGTCTATATCTTTATCTGTTATCTTTCTTTAATCACATATCCACCTTGCTGACAAAAGCAGCTATATGGTAAATCTAATCTACTGGACCCCAGTAAGGCATTTGACCCTGCCACATGAAATATTATGAATTATGGTGGAGAATATGAGGATTAGGGCAAGAAACTTAAGGCAGTAACGAACTGGTTAAAAAGGAGAAGAAAGGTTGTGCTGAGAGGGGATTTATCAAAATGGAGGAAGATTAATAGTAAAGTTTTTCAAGGATCTGCTTTAGGACTGATCTTAATTAATAGTTTCATTACGGACCGTAATACGAAAAGGAGGAACATAATAATGAAACCTGCTGATGACACAAAGTTGGGAGGTATTGTCAATACAAAGCAGAACTAGAATATCATACAGGAAAAACTGAGTGACCTTGAAGACTGGAGAAATCAGATTAAGTTAAACAATGCTTTTAGGAACTAATAAAAAAGTTTTTGTCTATAAGCTTGGGGTTCATCAGTTGGAAATGACACTAGAAGAGAAAGACCCAAGAGAATGAATCACAGGATGATTATAAGCCACCAGTGTTACACAGCCATGAAAAAGGTGGACCTGAAACTAGATTGTATCTATCAGCCAAGGACAGCATTAATGTCATTGTACAAGGCACTGTCAAGACCTCATATCTGGAGTACTTCATACATTTCTGGTCACCACTCAATCAGGAAAAAAAGAGTGCAAACCAGAAGAGGTGCAGAGAAGGGCCATGAGGATGATCGGGTGAAACAGAGAGCTTTGCTCACAAGAAGAAATAAAAAAGGTGTTGGCAACCTTTTCAGAACAGTGGGCTGGAATAATGCAGCATGGTCTGAGACAGGCCAGTGCTTCCAACCCAGCTGCCATCATTTCTCCCTGTCACTGACACCAATATGAATGTGATCAACAGCATAAGCCCTCCATCATCAAAATGCTGTCAAATGACCCCATGCTGAATTGCTTCCGATACCCAAAATTTGTGGGCTGGATAAAACCACTTGGTAGGCCAGATATGGCCCATGGCCCAAGTTGCTAACCCCTGGAGCAGAAGAGCTTGTCTTGATTAGCTTTGCTGAGTGAAGGCTGAGAAGAGCTATGACTGCTCTCAGTATACACACCAGGGAGGGAGAGGACTGATGTAAACTAAGGACAACATCGGTATAAGAACAGATGAGCATAATCCAGTGACAAATAAACTTAAATTGAAAATTAAACTTCAGCAGAGAAGTGAGGTTCCTGAAAAGCTGACTGAAAGAAGAAAAGCAATATAGCAGTTTTAAGACGGAACTGATCATTTCATGCAAGGGATCTGTAGCTACCTGTGATAGCAGGCAAGCAGACAACGAGGCAGAAGGGCTCTTCTGGGCTCTAAGTGAAAGTACGATTACAAAATACAGTAAGTAGAACTGACTGGATGAAAAATCAAGAGGGCATGTTAGCCTTCCCAGGGATGTGGTGGAAGCCTCACTTCTTGAGGATCTTAAGACACACAGGCCAGGGGTTCTCAGAGACCTTTTCAAAGTCAGGGCACTCGCCACAGTTTTTTGAATTTGGCAGCACCCCTGGTTGAGAACTACTGTTCTACAGCCACCACTTACCTCAGTGCTTCTCAACCAGGGTGCTGCCATGCACTCTTGCCCATACAGCGTTTTCTGATAAACCTAAAACAGGCAGAAGCAGAGGCATAGCTAATGAACTGTGCCTTGGGCACCACTGGAGGGGGAGGATATGTGTGTGTGTGTGCAGGGGAAGGGCAGGGGGGAAATGAGGGTGGTCTAACAGGCCCTGGGTGTCCCCGCACCTAGCATCTCCAGCTGGGCAAATGGCTGCTCCAGCACAGCAGGACTCCTCTGGCTGAGCCATGCAAAGGGCTGCTGAAGCTCAGCCTGACTCCTTGGGACAGGCAGTGCAAAGCCAGAGTATGCACTGCTGCCACAGCCCTTTCCAGTCCAACCCTGCATGCCAGCCCCAGAGGGCACAGGATGGTTCCACCTCCCTGGCACTGCTGTTTCTGGGAGGAGCTGCATGCAAAGTGTGGGCTCCAGCTGCAGCTGTTTCCCATTCTGCCTCTGCAGAAGATGCATGGGGCATTTTAACCTGGCCATGGCAGCACTCAAGTCACAGCACTCCTGGAAAGGGATTGTGGCACCTAGGTTGAGAATCACTGTTACAAAAAAAGGGACAATCAAAATCATATACAGAGTATATGTTATACCTTAATTATATTATGTTTAGTAAATGTTAAGTAGAAATTTAACTGTAATGCTAATGAATGTGTGAAAATGCAAAACACATAAATGCGCTATATAAAAGAGAAAGTAGTAATTGAAGAGCTTATGAAAATTAACAGTCCAGGTTCAGAGATAAAAATTCTGGGAAGTAGATATTTCTGAGTATCAAACCTTGCTAAAAGGACACCTTCCAAGGACCACTGAAGAACTGGTTTGATCTAGTTCTCTAGGTATCCAGGACAAAAGAGGGAACCTTTCAAAGGTTCCCTCTGTTTCCTAAGCTATATAAATGCTTACACAGATAACATACTTTTAATATAAACAGGATTAATCTCCACTGTGTGGCTGTGATCCCAGAGAGAAGGTAACAGAAGAAAAAAAAATAGTAAGAAAGTTTTTGCCTTCCATTCTTGTATGCATTTGCTGGCTGGTGATGTTTTGTTAGCATTTATGCAAATAAAGTCCTTTTACATTCAAGTTGTTGAAACAACCTTGGAACAGTTTTGTTTTTTATTAAAGTAGCCAAAAGAGAAGGCAGGCAGGCCACCTTTGGTTGATCAACTTTAATCAATTCATTTCTGCCTCTGAACAACCTGATTGGATAAAGCCATAGAAGGAAGACAGAACAATCCAAAATTGGCCTCTAATGAAGACAGAAAGGATGACCTACATATTTTCCTACATTAATTTCCACAATTAGAAGAGAAATTTCTTACACTGGGTAGGTATTTAACTGTCTTTTCGTCTGACTTCCTTGTAGTTCAGGCAATGGCATTAACTCCTTGATTATCAACACTGATACAACAGTGCCAGCAGCTATAGCAAGAAGCCCCATGATCTGGATCCAGAGGCAGGTCATTTGACCTGTAGTTTGGATCTAGCCCACAAGAAGCCCTATGATCTGGATATGGACCACCAACCCATTTGAGTTTGTTACCTCTATGTGAAATATGTTACTGACTGACTTTAAAAAAAATTGCAACAAGAGGACTGTTGATTCATCCACCTTGCCGTGCACTAGAATCCCCAGGTCCTCTTCTACAGTACTGCAGCGTAGCCATTTGTTCCAAGTGAGATCAAGAATCAGACTCATGTTTCCAGTGAAAGCGCACAGCACTAACCAGACTTGAGCGAATCAGTTTAATCTCAGGCAGAGCAGAATGCTGTAGAGAGTTGCCTGCAATGTACCTCAAAGATGAAAACAAATTGATTTAATTAAGCATCCCTTAAAAAGAGAAGCTGAGCTCTCCTTTGTAGTTTTCAAAGCAATGACAATGCAGAGAAAAATGAAAGAAAATGAGAGATTTGGTAGAAGTCCTACCTTCCTCTGCAAGGTCCTTGTTAATAACCAGTTTTCCATGTCTGAGATAGTTCAGCACTGGCCCAAAGTAGGTTGGGTCTCTGTCTATTAAGTAGGCACCTGTTTCATCCTGCAAAGGAAAAAAAAACAAAAAAAAAAAAACAGTAGTTGAGATAGTGTACTGAATTAAATGTTCAGTCAAGTGGCTGTTCACACATAGGCACATCCATTAAATAAAAAGAAAGCTGGAGTTTTGTTCATCTGTCTTTGACATCTTAGAGGAATTAGAGACCCCGCCTTTATTTATGATGGTTATATTAGGGACTTGCCCCCTTCAGGACAGCCCCTATACCCTCACAAAAAAGGAACTTTGTGACTGAAGATTAAACACAGAAAAAAGCATTAAAAGAGTTACATTTCACACTTACAGTAAATTCAATAATTAAGTCAATTTAATTTTTCTCATACTTGAGACTGAAACCAATCGCAGGGAACCATGACCCAAAACAGGGGGCTTGAAGGATGGGTAGCCTGGAAGAACATTCATCTCCTTGATCACGAGGACTGACAGAGTCTAGAAGAGCAAATGTTTCCCACTTGCAACATCCAAGAGTCTTCTGGCACCCATATTCTTGAAGAAACAGATTCAAAGACACCTCTCTTAAAAGCTGTGATTTTGTCAAGGAGTGGAGCACAGGCATGAAGGAAACACTGACCACACAGCAAACTGGCCCTGCCCTGCTTTTAGCCTCCCCTGTAAAACTGCAACAGCTGGCCAGTCAAACATGCAATTCCAGCCGTCACTGAGGGTGGAAACAGACGTCCTCCAATTTCTTATTTGTGTCATCTCAACATCTTTTTAAGGCAACACAAATGCTTAGCAAATAGATGTCCTTACCCTTTGTTCTGCCACAACAGGAAACTCAGTGGTGAAACAGAAGGTAGAAACAGACTCTACAGCTTTACTGAGAAGGATCTCCATTACCTTGTGGTGCTTTCCCCGCTCAGCCTGTCCCAGACCCACACTGGAGGCAGAACACCTGTCATTCCCCGCTGCCTCAGCCCTACGGGGCTAGCTGAGTGGAGAAGCACTTTTCCCTGCTGCCCCAGACCCACAGCACAGGTACGGAGAAGTAGGGAAA